GACGGGTGGTAGAGGTGGCTGTCCTCCAGCTCACCCTCCGACAAGTCCTCACAGGCATCTTCAAACTCGTCTTGATCGTCATCCATGGCTATGGATGCAGGGGCAGCTGTTGTGGGTCGATTATGGATGTCCACACTCATGGTGCTGCCGGCAGGGACTGGTGAGACAGCGAGTTGTTGGACCGGCGGCGCCGATGTGACTACACTGCCCGCCGCGCCGCCAACGACTGGCATGAATGCCATGGGCAAGAGCCATAGCCTCGGCCTTCATGGCTACTGCTGCGGCTGCGGTGGCTGCTGCGGTGCGGCCGCTGTCATCTGCTTTCTGTCAACGTCAACCCCTCGACGTCTGCGATAGACGGCACACGCACCCAGGACAAGCACCTGCCGCGGTCACAGCTGATCCCTCCTTCAAATCAATACCGCGCGCAGACGTACTGGTTCGTTTACTCGCGATCAACACAGCAAAAACGAGGATAACAAGACGGATATTAGGGCATGTCCTGGGTTGGCTTCCATGTTGAATCCTGTCAGAGCCCTCTCAAATGCTACTTTGTTGTTGCTTGATGCATTTCTAGCATATCGAAAATTCATACTTCAGAAGCAAGCTAGTGCACCAGTTTAGGGAAGAAAGTATGTAAATTATGTAATATATTTTTTAATTAGCCTCTTGCTTAAGGCAGAGGTTCCCTCTTTATGTTTGGATTTTTTCTTTTAGACGTTGGCAGACCTGCCGGGCTGTCGAGAAATCGATTTTTCAACAACAAAGTAGATTTCTAGGTTATGGTACTGGTACTGCAGTACGTTGAGTTTATATTTTGCGATAAATATTTAGTGAGGTACGTTGTCAGCTGACCAAACTGCTCCTAAATGGCGCAGGCACATGTGCAAAGGGTTAGGCTACTTTACAAGACTATTTTAAAGCTTCACAGAGGTCTACCAGTGGAATTACAAGCACTGGGAAATTCATACATCAGAGATGAATTCAAAAGACACAAGGGTTGTAATACATCTGAGGCAAATGTTTTCATGAATGAATGGACGGTTAGTATATTTGAAACTACATGTGATTTATCACGACTATTGTTAGTTAGTATTGGTGTCAAGAATGCTGAAATCTGCCAACGCACCAATTAGCTTCTTCTGTAATTAATATTTCTCTCTCTAGATAATGAAATCAATAAAATTTACCTTATGTTTTTCAGAATTATGCTTTGAACCTCTCTGAGCAATTAGGATTAAGAGGTCCAAAGACAGGACGTGACATAGGAGAAAATTTGGATGAAGAAGCGCTAAGCCTTTTACGTGATGAGCAAATTGCACAGCTTTATGAATTACATTTGGCTGCTTCTGCTCCTCGAAAACAAGAATAATTGTATATTAGAGAAATTTAATGTTCTTTTGTCTTATAAATATCTGAAAGAATCTATTTGTTTCAATATTTTTAAGGTATTATGTAACATGACTGTGTGATAATATATTCAAGAATAGTTACCTCAATACTGTAGCAATAAGTCAGTGGAAAAATGTTTTGTAGTAGTTGTCTGCTGTACATTGTTGCGAGACGTTTAAGAAATTGTATTTCCAATCATGTGTCATGTGATTATGTGTCGTAACATGCTATAGTCTTTGATTACATTCTGCTGTTTGTTTGTCACTGCTGCTCATTTTTAATGTGCAGTTTTCATAGCTTTGTATGTGAACCTTATGCCTCTGTCTAATATTCAAAATGATATTTGAAATTAACTAAATATAATGAAAAGTGTGCTACTGAATGGTTCTCTCATTGTTTTTTTGTAATCAGTTTTAGTGAATGACTGAAAATACTCTCATAAATTGGCTTCATATCAATATTTTTTATCTTGGAAAAATATCATAATACAATGAACATGAATTTTACAGAAGTCACTCTCCGTTTTGTACACTTGGTGACAAATGAGTTAGAAATTTTTATAAAGATAGTTTGTACTTACAACAACAAATTTATAGGCAAATCAAACAAATCCTCCAAGAAATGAGCTCTGAAGGTACCTAGTAATCTTACAAAAATATGAGAAAAGAGTAATGGCACACTGACTTTAAATTAAGCATTCTAGGCTTGTTTCTTAACTGGCCTAGGAATGTTGTATTTTTTTATTTTTTTAGGAAAGTACATAGTCTCTTTGTTTGCCAATGTGATATGGACACTGTAAGCTCATTTACACATTGTCGGTAAATATTGGACAAAATTTCTCTGCTTAAAACAATCGATCACAGGTAATCATCAAAACAGTCACTTCTTAAGCTCTCATATTTTTCCACTGCCCAGCAGAGAGCTGACATATTAATTTGTGATTATCTGCCTACTTACTGGCGCCAGCACCATCACTGAAATGCATGTGCTCTCTTCCATTTTCTTCTAATTAGCAATCAAAAATTGTCTTTGTCTTTATTGGTTTGAGACACTTTTCCCTCAATAATTCAGCAAGCCTAGCGGAAAACTGAACACAAACAAAATAAACATCAATAGTGATGACTAAATCCTTGAGCAAATTAGGCTTGGGGCATTTAAAAAAATATTGTTTGGGAAAAAAAACATTTAAGGCGGTTGACTGCTAAGTTCGGAGGCCGCAAACAGGAGATGCCGATACCCCGTGCCTTAAAGACGCAAGGCTCGGGGTATCGACTAACACATACACGCACGCATACAAAACAACATACGGGTATATGTAACTGGTAACATTACTGGTGAGGCCGCACACATATACCGAAATAGGCTTTCAAAAGTGATTACAATCATAGAAAATTCACAACGCCATTCGCACAACGTAGCAAACGCTTTCACAACCATTTCTACAACATAGGGGAAGACCCGGCGGAAACGATACTCGACGAGAAAAGGTAAAAATAAATGAAACGGTGCAGTCGGTGGGATTGAGACCCGGAGCGAGCGGGGGGCGAGAGCCACCCTATGCCGCTACGGCGTGGCGGCGATGCCGTTGAGGCTGCCGTTGGCCTTGAAGTGGTGCAGCTCGACCGCGTCGCTCTCGGGCGGCAGCGAGGAGACCGAGTCCTCCGTGTTGTTGCAGTAGTGGTGGTGGTGGTGGCTGTGGTGCAGGTGCAGGCCCTGCAGCCCGGCCTGCTGCGGCCCGCTCACAGGTAGCGTTGCTCCAGGCTGAGGCTGCTCCTGGTGGGCGCCGCGCTGGGCCCACTGGGCGTGCGGACGAGGCGCGTGAGCCGCGTGCTCGAGCTGGGGCCCGGGCTGGGGCCCCCCCACTGCGGCCCCCACTGCGCCCCGTGGCCCTCGTGATGATCCCCGCGACTGTCGCGTAATGTGTGCAGCCTTAGCACGTAGCATCGTCTGTGAGGGCTGTGATACGAATCGTAGCCGCTCGAAGAGGTGGCGCTGGCTGTACGGGGGCAAGCTCGAATCTGGAACCAATTGGCGCAAACAATCCACAATGCAGCACACCCACAGCGCCGTGTACGGCGGGTGCGCCGCGGGGCGCGGCGCCTGGA